ACAGGAGTTCAGATGATCTGAGCCCCACAAAGGAGCGTCTCACAATATCCCACAGCATATTTCTATCATCTTTTAGTAACATCTCTCGATGATGATATCATCATTTCTAGTCAATCATTAAAAGATGTTTTCAATACACGGTAGGGATACACTGTGTGACATCATAGGGCACCCTCTGTGAAGTCATGGGCTCATATATGACTCTAAATTCTATATCTAGCTTTCACCCCTATCAAAGTTATGGTGCTGCGCCAATGGGCATCTGCCACATCACCATTGTGAACTTCAATGTGCGCGATCGACAAAACAGGTAGTGCCCATGTGGTGAAAAATAGATGATTGGCCTAGTATTATGAGTAAAACTGTATATGATTTGGACCCATGAAGTCATAGTCTAGTCTTGGATCCATTGTATATTAATTAGGTGATTGACTATTCTTGTTTCTTTGGATTAGGTGAATAAGTGTAGGGACCATAGATCATGACATCAGTGTTATGACAAAATGTATTCACTATCCAAATGAAGATGCTTGACACCAAAGTTTTCTTTTTGAATTATTGTCCAAACAGGGTGCACTCACCGGAGGTGCTGTTTTTCACTTGTTTTCCAATTAGAATCAGCTTGACTTCTTGTGTGAAGCTTGAAATTCCTTCTAACACCCATGAAATATTTAAATTGATGATGGCCACTTCCTTCAAATAAAAATCCTTCAATTAACACCTAACTGATCTAATCTAGTTATATCTATATGCATGAAAGTGGGAGAAGATTATAAAATTATAAAATCACAATGGATGAGGGCAAGTAAACAAGTTAGTTCAAAGGAAAGTTCTTCTATGCATATTATGCCAAAGTCAATTGTATACTCTTCCTTTTTAATGCATGAAATTACCATAATCTTTGTAGAACCCTAATTTGTACTGTCAAATTGTAATCTAAGATCCATTGAAAGTACCCTTATCATTAGGAAAGAAGCAATCTGTGGGCAAATAGAGTTTCCATGGGTATAAGAAGAAAAAGGGTGAAGGGTTGGCTCATTTCAAGGAAAATGACAGTTTCTTTATCTTTCTTAGATTCGTCTGGAATAATAATAATAGAACTATCAATGGGTCAGGTCTGGTTTGAGACAGGGTGGATCAATCCTGAATCGATTATTAATTGGTTTTATAAAATAGACTAAAATCGGGATAATCAGGTCTGACCTGATTAGACCTGATTATACTTGACATCTATAATTACCTATGAGAATAACAAACTTGGAATTTCATTGTTGATAGTATAACTAATAAAAATGATAGTAAATAGTAAACTATTTATATATTGATAAAACGAGTATTTTTAATTAAAATGATCTTATATATTGTTTATAAAAATTATCCTTATAAAAATAAAATATAACAAAAATTACAAGAAAATAAAGGACCTTCATATATTATTAACTATATAATCAGTTTAGGTCTTAGTTGGTTCAAAATACAAAGAACTGGTCTCAAACCAATTAAGCTACTGGTTGAACTGGTTTTCCTTCTCAAAATCCTCATACCAAAACGTGTATTGGCACGCATTTCCTCTTTATCATGTGAATCAGAAAACCCTTCAAAATTATTGCACAATTGAAAATTGTTTAGGAGGGCTATTTGTAAAAGGGAAAATAGGTTATCATGAGAGATGTCTCTATGAAACTTTATTTTCAAATTCATGCAACACACTAAATTATTGCAAGAAGAGAGTGTCCAAGATACTGAGATTTGTTTGATTGCAAAATATTCCAACATCATAATGGACAAATGTGGTTAAACAAGTTAGGTCAAGAGAAAAAAGGACAGCCTAGTGCACAAGGCTCCTCTCAATGTGGGGAAGAAAATTCCTCTAAAGTATGCAATAGATGATAGATAAACCACTTATCTTTCTAATAAAAACCAAATTCAACTATCAAATCAGAAGCTACGATCTATGGAATACAGGTGAAACAGAAGTTGGGTTGGGTGGAAGGCCAAGTTACCTTTGGTTGGACTAGGGTTGAAGAATTCAGGATTATATTGACCACATCAGGTGTAAGGTGGGTTGGGGGTTTAGCACTTTAGATTGGATTAGGGTTAGCCTTAACCCGACCTAACCCGGCCCAATTTGTACACCTCGAAAATGTTCTTACCAATGGTGAAGAAAACGACAGTAACTAACTCCATCTGAAAGGCATCTTCACAGATCACTCTGGAATAACATGTGGAGGTATATATACTAACTGGCTACTGGTTGAACTGGTGTTTCTTTTCAGAATCATATCTAACCATGTATTTGCATGAATTCCATGTCTATCGGTCACCAACAACACCCTTCCACTTATTGCCCAGTAATTGTAGAAGTCATTGGCGTTATCATAAAGCATATTTCTATAAAGATGCCAGCTAGCTTGATGGTAAATTCTCTATACTCTAGCTAGTTGTAGCAAATAAAGATGGCAATAGTGCGGGTTTTGTAAATTCTAGACCTAATATCTCTCCCTAAACCTCCCAATCTATATCCACCCCAAAAACTATTGTAGGTTGGATTTTGAGAATCCAAATCCTCTCTGCACGTGGAAATGCAAAGTCCTTCTTGACCCTACCCTCCTTGCAAACATGCATCTACTTTCCTATTATTTCTTATTATATATAAGCAATAAATAAGTAATATAACACAAACAAATAACAAAAATTCCAATTATTTGATTAAAACATGCAAAAATCACATAAACTATCAATTATCCTTCATATAAAATTTAAAATATTATTAAATTTAACACCTATACATGTGGGTTGGGGAGGGTCGGATTTAGTCTAATATCATACTCTAGTTGAACCCATACAGATTGTAGAATCCCAAAACCTGTCCTTCCAGCAAAAATTAGGGGTGGATACCCATCTAGTAGGATAGAAATTGCCATAGTTAGTAAAAGAGACTAGGGATTGAGTCTTGCTTAGGGATGGCGATTTCTATCCTACCTGGTTGGTACGCATCCTAACGTTGTGGTTTTTTTTTTTTTTTTGCTCGAAGGATGGATTTTGGGGTGGGGACAGGCTTTGGGATTCTATAACCTATATGAGTATGGGTAGGGTACGGTGTTAGGCTAAACTTGACCTCCTTGACCCACATATTGTTGGAAAACATATGAACTTTATGTATTTTGTGTTGAATTTAATAATTATTTGAATTTTATGTGAAGGATAATTGATAGTTTATGTGCTTTTTACATATCTTAATTAAATAATTGGAAATTTTGCTATTAATTCATGCTATTTTACTTATTTATTGTTTATATATAACCAAGAAATAATAAGAAATTTGATGTGGGCCTGGTAGCCCGATGGCCCGGTCCGGCCCGACCCGCACCCCGATCAGGCTTGGTCATGTAATTAGGTCCGCGGGCTTAACACAGTAAGCCCGACTGTGTTTCGGGCTGGGCTCAAGATTTGTCAAAAAAGCCCAGCTCGGCCCGACTCAGCATTATATACTTTATAAAATATATTTTATATATTATATAAAATATATAAATAATATAATATTTATTAAAATATATATTTATAATTTAATATATATTTTTATTCTTTTCTTTATAATTTTTTTTCTCTCTCTCTCTCTATTCATCCGCTTCAGTAGTAGTAACAATATGGGCTAAATTTCGGGCTTGGGCCTAAGCTCGGGCTTTGGACTTTTTATGAGAACCGGGCTCGGGCCCAAGTTGTAGGCTCAATGGTCGGGCCGGGCTTAGGCTTGGGCCTTAGAAAAATTTGTTAATACAAAGTGAAAACCCAGCCCGACCCATGAACATGCCTAATTGCAAGGGACTGTGCAAATGATATAAATAGGGTGTTGTGAGCACTGAAGCGAATTTCCATGTAGAGTTGTAGCTGAACGGACTCAGGCTGGATTTTTGTCAAAATATAAATGGGTCTAACCACCCAGCCTGAAGCAGAATTCAGATCTCATACCAACAAGAATTCAACCCACACCTATCCACATGCAAATACGGAAGATATTCTCCATGTGCAGTTGCAACGAGGCATGGGTAGATGCGGATAAGGTTCTTGTGGGTAGAAGATCCGAACTCCCTGGGGCCTACAGTAGTTGCATCCCTGCCCTAGGCTGAGGCCACAATCCGCATCACTAACTCAGGGATTCCGATCTTGGGTAATTGGGTTTCAACTTTGAAGGAGTGGGATTTGATCCGAATTCCCTACCCAAAGAGCGCCGTGAGGAGCAGATCCCAATTCCAATTCCTATACAATGAGATATCCCATCTCAAACCCATAAAAATAAATTAATAGACACGGATGAAATGAGAAAGTCTAGATGCGTTGAATGTTGGTAGTGCACGCACCATTAAGAGACTACAAAACCGTGTTGGTAATTGATATCGACCTTGGTTTTAGAACACGTAGTCAATCAAACCAAGACGAGTTTTACGCACTCGCCAGATTTACTTGGAATTCTTTCATGCATTCGTTATGTTCGATGGAAATCCTGTGAAACCTCAGGTTACAGCCCACAATAACGTGTGATATGATGATGAGAAATTTCTCAATAGATCCATCAATCCAGATGGACTTATCTCTCTCAGGATTCAGGACACAACCATAAGCCAAAAATTGATCACTCGATCTATCACACTAGTAACCGACAAAGAACAAGTAAAATAAAAAACCCATGAGATAAATCTCTGAGTGTTTCACATGGAGTCATGCCTCATAAACAAAACAGTAAATGACAATGTGGGGATCAAGAAAACGTGGTAAGAGAAAACTAATCAAGAAAGCAACCCCAATGGCCTAGGCTCGAGCTCCAAGTCGGCGAGATATGGGATTGGTCAAGAATCAAGATGAGCTTCAATCAGCCCTTCTTTTGTTTGGTAGGCTTGACTTTGAAAATGAAGAAGACCGGCACGACTCTTTCATTTATTATTGCAATATAATATTTGGCTATTAGGCCTCATCAGAGTACATACAGAAGGCTGACACCCTCCCTCTGGCGTAATACATGACCCTCTATTTCCACTGAACTTCCTTGCAACCAACCAGGCCATACTATATATTTTGACATCCATCGGTTCTTTCTCTCATTCTATTAGCCAATTCATGCCGGCCATCGATCAATTTTCTCCACAATCTGTAGACTCGTTCTCCATCTCGACAAAAGCAGCAGCAGCAGCGGCGGCAGCCATGGACTCGACTTGGTTGGATACATCTCTAAGTTTTGGCCTCAACGTCAATCCTCACCAAGTTACCGGTGAATCTCTGGTTAGTAGGACTTGAATTTGGGGACACTCATGTCGTTTTTGGTGATGAATTTGTTTGTTGAACAATCGAATCACTGAATTATCAAAAATAATTGGTTTTTTATTGGTTCAGAAGAGAGAATTATACACTGATTTTCTTGACTTGGGGAGGAATCACTCGGTAAATCAAGAGGTAATTAGGTGTTTGATAAAAGTATCCAAGGCAAACCAGTGCTGGATTAGCAAAATATAGTATTGATTTCATGTCTTGTGTTCATTTTTCAGGCTGGTGAATTGGTGGAGAAGTTGAATCAGATGAGTGCAGAAAACAAGAAACTCACCCAACTGCTTACTGTTATGTGCGAAAACTATACTACTTTGCAGACCCAATTGAAGGACTTGATGAGCAAGAACAACGAAACGGGCTTCACTGTGTCGAAGAAGAGAAAGGCTGAAAGCATGGATAACAATAACCACAATGGGGTTAGTGGTCCTACAGAGAGCACCTCTAGCGATGAAGATTCAGGCAAGAGGATAAGGGAAGACATCAAGACAAAGATCTCAAGGGTCTATGTAAGAACCGATGCATCAGATACCAGCCTGGTAAGCATCTAAACACAATCCTATCCAGTAATGGATTCATGTACAACTCAAGTAGTAAAAAAACTAATCTGTTCTTTCGCTTCATATTACAGGTGGTGAAGGATGGATATCAATGGAGGAAATATGGGCAAAAAGTGACCAGAGATAACCCATCTCCTAGAGCTTACTTCAAATGCTCCTTTGCACCAAGCTGTCCAGTAAAAAAGAAGGTGAGGTAGAGATCAAATCTCAGTTTCATGTCTTCCACTTCTATATGAGTATTATCTAGGAGTTGAAAGCTAAATTCTTCTGGTGATCTCTTTCTTCAGGTGCAGAGAAGTGCAGAAGATCGATCGGTTTTGGTGGCGACATATGAAGGCGAGCACAACCACCCACACCCTTCTCAAGCTGAGGGATCACTGGGCTCAAGTCATGGTGTAACCCTTGGGTCCATCCCTTGCTCCGCCTCCATCATCAGCTCTTACAGTTCAGGCCCTACCATTACACTTGATCTTACCCAACCGGGATTAGGTCTTACCCAACCGGGATTAGGTAACAACAATGTGAAGAAACCCAACGAGGAAGTCAAGTCGCCAGCATTCCAGCAGTTTTTGGTTGAACAGATGGCTTCTTCCTTAACCAAGGATCCTAGTTTTACTGCAGCCCTTGCAGCAGCCATTTCAGGGAAGATTCAACAAAATTCACTAGTGCAAAAATGGTGACAATTTTGTCCCAAGTGAAACTTCTGTGTAATCTAATTTGTTCTATTGGAGATGAAAATGGTGCAAATATTATTTTTGAAATAGAAAAAAAATGAGAAACATGTGCTGTTTCCCCAAGTGATCTGATACGGAGTACTTAATTTCATAACTAGCTAGTTGCTGATTCTCTGCAACTAGTACTCTAGACCTCCAACTAGAGAATACTGTCAGCAATTCCATGTTTGCTCGAGAGCAATTTGAGGAATTAGAAATTATCTGAATCCCTAAAGTTCAAGAGAATAAGAAACCGAAATACCATTCAAGATCCTAATTAAGAAGAGTAAAGGGTGGACGATCAAGAAATTGTTAAGATCAGAAAAAAGAACAATCATATTAATTGAAAATATCCAACTTTAATTCTTGATGATAACTGGGCTAAGCAATCTTGGCTCAAGAAGTCAATTGTAGTTCACATGAACAAGAAGTTTGAATCTTTGGAGATGAGAAAATATGTCTATCTATATAAAATATAAAATTAAGAAAGGAACTTAGGAATAGCTCAAATAGATGATAGAATGAGGGAAAGTGGACCAAGATGATTGATTGGGTGGTCACGAACATAGAAGACCAATTACAGCACCTGTAAGAAGAAGCTATCTGTTATAAGTTGAAGGGACTAAAAGGGCAAAGGGGCATACCGATAAGAACATAGGTTGAAGTAGTAAGAAATTATTTCAAAATTTTAAACGCTTATAATTTAACAATGAATATGGCACTTAATAGAACGAAATGATGAAATAGGATTCATATAGCCGATCGAATATGGTTGGGATAAGGTTTAAATGATCACAATGATCTATATAAAAATGAACTATTAAACAATAACCTTTCCTTTATCTCGTGCTTATTCACAGACAAAACTTATTAGCTGAAAACAGTGTGTTGAAATAATGGAACTACTAATGCCAATTGTACCAATAATGGAAAACTTACATATTATAGTTCTGCTTTGCCAAATAAGAGTTAAGGGCCTGTTTGGGAGGGCTTGATCTTCCCGTGAGCTGCTTTGGTTGGGCTGCTGATATAACTTCTGAATAAGTTATATATTTAAAGTAGCTTCATGGGAGAGTCATTCTACTGACTCAACCAAAGTCATTTATCGGCTTTCTGGATTTACACCAAACATAACTTTTGGATTTTCCGTGGAGGGCACACCTCAGAACGCCAGAAGCTGCAGCCCAAAAGTCCTCCCAAACAGGCCCTAAAAAAATCATAGGCCAAGATGGGAGAGAATCCTATGATTCATGGCTATTGAGGCAGTGCAACCTGGATGCTTCCTATATATGGAACATTAGAGGGTTAGGGTAAACCTGCAAGAGGTGGGCAGCTTGGTGGGTCTAGCTTCTCACAACACTCGGCATGATGCCTCGATCTAAGAAAAGCTCCTTAATAGACTTTGGATCCAGATATCTATCAGTTCCATGCTTCGGATATTTGAATTTTGAATTGTTCAGTTGAATTTAAATTTGAGCTTGAGGTGTTTGATCTATAAACGTTGTGGAAGGATTTCACCAGGGCTTGGGAGTTGGGAGGGGGCTTGTCTACCAAAGAATGAAAAAAAAAAAAGAATTTTGCATCACAACTATAGCAGTCCAACCTCCAGATCCATGGGTTATGGCCCACAATATTTGAAATTGATCTCATGATCCACTAAAATCCAAAATCCACAATATTTGAACTTGCACTAAAATTTTGGCTAAAGATTGGGTACACTATAAATGTAAGATAACAAACTCTAAGGGGCTGTGTGATAACTGCTGAAGTGGCTGAATTGAAAAACTTATTATTTTGCCTTTTAATGAATAAGATTTTAAGGAGGTCTCAGGTCTGGGGCTCCTTAATGCCTGAAGCTGAAATTGGGTAGGTTACTATAAATTTAAATATTTTATTATTTATTTATTTTATACACTGAGACACAAAGCAATAAGTCATTCAGTCCAACAATTTCAGCTGTTATCAAAGGGTCCCTACAAATCTACAACCAAAAAGGGAAAACTAAATGAATTTGGATCCAATATTTTGCATCAAATGTGAACCTTTGAATGTCAGTTCCAAAAGTTGTACCTGCTTCTACCTTGATGAGAATCAGATGACTGCATAAATTGGCTATGGGACTGATACTTGTTTGGACATTGTTCCAAAACTCTTTGATGAGAGAATAAACTGCCATAGCTTCCCCATAAACCATCATCCTAGGGGTATTAATTGAAAGAGTTAAGTATCATAAATCAAACCGAGGACATAAGCTACACAAGGGAACATACAGAGTTTGAGAGAAGATCCCTATATTCAGTAAGTAGAATGAAGCAAGAATATCAGAGTATCGCTATATTCAGTAAGGAGAATATATGCAACGTAACTCTTGTGCTTTCACCACACAGACAAAGTGGGGAGCCATAAAAAAAAAAAAAAAAGACGTTCCCACCTTGTCTGTAGTGCAAAGAAAAGTATTAGTTTCATATATACTTGCATTTCTCCACACAAAATTTCATGGCTACAGATGGGCTGCTGCATGCGTGGAAGACAATTCAAATTAAGGAATGCCACAAGCTAGAATTTACTTATAAGAAAGCTCAGTTTTTTGCTTTTCTTCTTTTCATTATTTGTGTTGTGAGGTGTGGTGGTAATTCACACGAGAGAGTTCTACGAATAAGTGCAAAGAGCTCATAATTGATGGTCCATTTAGAAATAAAGGGATACAAAAATTGTAGACAGAAAAGGACTTGAATGGAAGTATTAAGAAATGATTTATGTGTGAAACGAGGAAATAGAATTCATGTAGCTAACACCATATAGTTGGGGCAAATGATGATGGACAAATGGGTATTTGGGCAAATGATGATGGAGGCATTCGACCTTTGTTGTTGGGCATCTCTTAACACATGATAGCACTATTTGCAGAGATCTCGCAATATGTATGTTCACTCCTGGTACTCAGATTACTTGTTTCTTTGTCTAGTAGTTTAGTCGGGTTTTATTGTTTAGGTTCTGTTTGGGAAGAATGTAAAAGTCGGTTCGGTGCATATATGTATTCTCCTTCAGTTTTCTTAGTTTTTGGCAATAATGCATTTATGTATTTACAAATTATGATGATAGAAAACATAGATTTCAATGCATGTTTGCACCCAAAATGACATCAAGAAAAGGAAGTAAATTTTTGCACTCAAAGTTGATCAGTGCTAAAATACYCATGCAATTACTATTTAGACTGGTTTCTAAGGAAAAAACAATACAAACTTTATGAACATACACAGAATTTAAAGTTACAACCTTACCTTTCAGCATTGATATAAAGAATAAAATTGAAAAATAAATCAATTTCAGAAAAATGATTGGAAAGGTCTGGGCTAATTGATCTTTACCAACTATACTCCAATGAGTGGGCTTGGGGCTGTAGTTGGTCTTTAGCTACAGTGTCATTCCTATTCAGGGGAATTGGGAACTGGAGGTGTAGGTGGGATCGGGTCCCACCTACCTTCCCATTGGATATAAATTCTACCATGGGCTTAGATAACTTGGACAATCAAAAGGGTGCACGTCATCGTCCATTCATCCATGGAGACAAAGTGAAATGGGATGTTGGAAAGAGAACAAAATTAAATAATGATGATTGAGGAGTGACAACAAAGGATCTCGACTCTGGAAATGGGAAAATTCTACAATGAAGTTTCAGATAAGATGAGATTAGTGATGTTAGTGGGTCGGGTAAAGTGGTTTAAATTGCATTGCTACCACCCTACCAGGTAAGGGTTGTAACAGCCTTAATCAAGGTCTGGGTCGGCGGGTTGAGACCGACGTGCTTCAAACCCGATTGTTGACATTGTAGAATTAAAATAATTATAAATTAATAGGCTTACTATAGGTGCATGTGCATTATGCATGTAGTCACGTCAGATTCGGGTAACCATTGTTTAGTAGTTTTCAGATGGCTCCAGTCCTAATACATTTCAAACGTTGGACCTGCCCCGGCCCATTGAAAGATGTATAACCACTTCACTTGAACTCCGGATCCGATAGTTGAACTCGCTGAGAACATTGAGTAAGCTGTAAGCATACAATCAATAGTTCGGGTCAAATGATAAACCCGGTTGGGTTAGGGTTAGGTTTATTCAGGCTTCAGGCATAGGATCAAGTAAGGGTTTTGATTCTTTAAATTGAATCGACTTTGGGAAGAGTATAAATATAAATATGTACAATGCAAAATTTGGTACATTGTATTTCACCTTGTATTTGCATTCTTACCAAATTTCAGTCTTTGTGCTTTTGGTCCTAAAAAGTGTTTTTGACTTTGGATTGTCATGCTTTTAAAAGCAGTTTTTTGGCAAGCATTCAAAACACTTTTTGACAATTAAAGTATATTTTTCACATCCTAAAGTGGTCAAAAACAAAGGTTTATCCAAAAAAGAAAAGTTTTGGGACTTGGGAACATGAATTGTGTTCCGCTTCAATCAAACAATCAATCCCAGTTTTCCTTAGATTTATACTAGAAGAGCCTCGTGTGATGCATGGGTTAGTGTTAAAATATGATCATGTTATATAAAGGGAGTGATTACAGATTCTAATAAAAAGAAGATTTGCTGAATTAGTTGTGAGTAGTCCATGTTTTATTTTTTCTGACTTACTTTTTAAATAAAAAATCTATAAAATTCTAAGGGGAAAAGATGCAAGAAAGAAGGGTGACTGGACAAATGCATTTTAAAATATAGTAATAGATCTCTTCATTGTATGACCTCCATTTCCATAGTCTTCATTCCCATATTCTGCAGTCAAAATGTGATTCTTTGGTCCAAGATTCATTCAAGAATCAATGTATCTCTGCGGTCCAAACTCCTCACCAGTTTGCTTGTGAGCTTGGCTTATTATTATAAATCCACGAAAGCTTCAAGAGTGATGGAGAACAAGGGTGCAGATATGTTATGGGGCTCCAAAGCAATAAGTGAATAAGACTGAGTGACAATCCATTGAGCACTAATCCAGACTCGTGTGCATGCTAGGGGTGCTACTTGGGCGGGTCTAACCTGAGTCCGACCTGACCCAATCCGAGTTTTTTTTTTTTTTTTTTGCACAGATTGGGCTAAGCTTTCAGGTTGCAGATTGGAACTCGGGTACAAAAGTCGGGTCCGACCTAAACTTGGGTTGAGACCTCGGGTAGCCCAATCACAATTTGAGCTCGGCCCAATCTAATCCAAGCCCATCTGGAAAAATACATACAGATGTGTATTTTATTTATATAAAATTACCTTTTTTTAATTTTGTATACATATATATGTATATGTGTACGTACATTTGTAAATGAATTTGTACACTAGCTCCTTGTTGGCAACGAGCGGCACCTGAGAAGATGAAATGAAGGATTCCTAGGGATTTGTCCGGTGGGAATACTCCGATGCTTAAGTTAGTACTGTGTATGAGGAGTAAAGAGAGAAACGAAAGCTAAGAGTGGAGGTCGCGCTTTATCACTATATTCGAGAGGTTGGAGGTCTCAAGAAGAAGTTTCTCCTCTGCCCTGAGGGCTTTTATAGGAGCGTTCTTGCGAGATTGGGCATAACCGCCACTGGGTCCCTGCCACAGCCGTTACCTGCCAGGCTGCGCAGGTGGCCGTTGGGACGTACTCCTTACCCGGGCAAGTGACACGTCCCCAAAGTGACAGGCACGCCTCCGCCTACTGAGAGACGTGGGCGTAGACTGTCGAAAGGACAGGGACTGCGCCGTCAGTTAGGGACGTGGCCCAGTCTGACAGGTACGACTTATTAAATAGAAGCTTCCTGAGGAATGCTCGTGCGGCCCATTCGCGAGCTACTTTGCAACGAGCTTCGAATACTTCAGAAGTACCCTTAGTAGAATTGGTCCTCGGATGACTTGCCTTGTTCGGGAGCTCGGGCGAACTGGCTTTTTTAGCTCGCAAGTTAAAGTTTGCCTTGGAATATCCCTTGAGGTAGCTCGGGGGACCCGGAGCTCGCATTGTGGTGAGCCCCTCCTTTACCCCGCTACCATGTAGCGAGTTGCTTTATGGGCCTATCACTTAGCTGTACTGGACCACAATGCTGATATGTCGCTTACGCTGAGTCAGCATCCACGTGTCGCTGTTTCATAGGTTGGGTCAAATCATCATTCATCAGATTTTATTCATGAATAGAGTCATAAAGCCTCATAAAAGATGAATATGCAAAAATATATACATAATTTCTTTCAAACTTGATTAACCTAATCTGACCCAGCCTGAGCCCAACGTTTGCACATTTAGGGTTAGGTCTGGGTTGACCTTCAACCGGACCCAGTCCGCCCGAGTTGTATCCCTAGTTCATAAACTTTTTTATTTTTTATTTTTTTACTTTTAAAGAATTAACAGGAACCCTCGTTCTTTTTTTAAATCTGGATAAAGCCACATTAAAAGGTGATCAATTGGGGGACTCTTTGACAAGCTGTCGCATTCTTGGGTTCTGCCTACAGTAAACGCCACGTCATTCGCTCATGAATTAATGGGCACACTGGAATCGACTGGGTTTGGTTCATTATATATCTTTCTTACTGTTTCAAAGTCTTTCTCTCCTGGATTGCATTTTCTTCTTCTTCGTCCTCTGCTTTCTACTTATACTTCCACATCCTTTATGGGGTCTCTGGAAAAAAGTCGTTGCACGTGAAGTGGATTCGTAGGCGTTCCGAAGTAGGTGGAGACTAAGAGACTGCCGTGGATGGATTGGGTTAAACTTCCTTTGTTTGTGTCTGCTGGTGCTGGATTTCAATCATCTGTTGACTCCGGCCTAATACAGAAGCCCACTAGCTCCTTATCATACGTTTAATCACAACCTCATCATCTCACCAATTTTTCTTGGCCAAAATCCAAAACCCATCAACGAATTTATTCTGTCTTCACTTGTGCTTATTCCCTCATGCTCTCTCGATGATGAATCAACCTTGGATTTGATTTTCTGGGACCAGATGTATCCATTCTTGAATTGGAATAATTCCTTTGTTGATCCATTTTCATTGGCCACCTTTGGGCAATGATATGATGGGCGGATCTATGAGTAGTAGGACCAGTAATCTGTCATTTGGTTGGATCGAAAGAGCCGGGTTAGGCTAAACTCCAATAAGACAAATTTAACGGTAGAAGCAGAGTGTTGTATGATACTATGATGGTTATACCACCGTTGGGAAACTAGACAAATTTAACGGTAGGGGTATTTCTATCATTTACATATAGTATAATCAATAATGCACATACTAGTTGGATTTTATTTTATTTTATTTTTGATAAAGATAATATACTAATTGGATTGGGTCCTTATCAGTTCTCTTTAGGTTGACTCGGTCCCGACCTGATTATTATGGGTCCCCAAAATACAAGTCTCGATCTAGCGAGTAGAAATATGATCGTAAGCACACTTAATGAGCATTCAATAAATATTCTGACAATTTTATAAAAAATTAACTTCAATTTTTTTAAAGGGTTGGTTAAGATATTTTAAGGGACGTGTGTCAAGAAAAAAAAAAATTACTTAGTGCTTGCTAAATGTAATCACCGTGTGTTTCTACCTGATTTTCAGACCCAACACATACCTTTATCAAAACAAAGGTTGGGTAATTAAGTTCGAATCTGTTAGCCGGGTTGAACTGGTCCATTGATAGCTCTTTAGGAGAACAACCGCCTTCTTATTTTTTGACCTTTGAAATAATAAATTTCTAAGGCTTAAAAAGAAAATAGATTTTAATTTTAGAAATCATCTTAGAAGGAGATGCTATGGAAACTATCCGGTGCCTGTTGGAGGAATCTTTCCTCTCACCGTGGTCCATACATACATATATTGTGGACTGTAGGCGGTTTTTCCTCTGCTTTGATTCAKTCTTGGTTTATCATGTCAAGAGGAACTTCAAAGGTTTTGCTCATAAACTTGCTAAAATTGGTGTCGATGATCATTACTTTTGGTGGGTGATACTCTCTCTTGTATTTCTCTTCTGTTTTATTCTGATTTGTCTCCCGATAAGACTACTGTAAACCAAGATTTTATAGGTGAATGAAAATTAGCTTCAAGACTTTCCAACTCAATATATATATATACAAGGTTTTAAAAACTGGCCTGGAAACGGAACCGTTCTAGCTATCAGTTTCTGAGTCGAATGGTTCAGACAGTTTGCTATCAAGGCAAATATTTTATGAATTATGAGATTTGAGAAATGAGAGAAAGTGATGTTGTCGGATGAGAAAGAAAAAAAGAAAGAAGAAAAGAAAGAAAGAAATGAGAGGAAAAAAGAAAAGAAGAGAAAGGAAAGGAAGGAGGAAAGAAGGAAGGAAGAAGGAAGAGGAGGGTTGTTTGACGCTCACCGGCGATGGCAATGGTGAAGTGGTGGCAACAGATTCTGAATTCTCTGATCTGAGATCTGAGTTCTCAGATCTTATTCTTCTTCTTCTTGTTCTTCTTCAAATCTGAGACACAAAATCTCTCCTGCAACTTTATACTGTGACCCGCTATCCGGGTCAAACGAGTCGATGGTTCGACCATTCGGGTCAGCAATTTTTTTACAAAGTCAATGATTTTTAACCCAAGAGAAGGTTAGGGGTGAAACAGAACCGGTTGCTTGAATGATTTTCGGGCCGAACGATCTGACCGTCTGGGTCAACGACGGTTCAAAAACATTGGATATATATAATATATATAATATGAATACACTAATGTTTAAAAGAAAAAAACAAAACATTACATCAGTTGATGTTTGATTCAAAACACTTAAGATATTTCATTGGGTTCACATGCGATCACAGTCCTAAGGAAATCGAATTGTCCAAAAAGTTTAATAGAATACATTACTCGAATATGATGATTAATAATTATCATATAATTTATATTTAGTACTTATAGATGAAGAAGGATAAAACTCTCAATACTGAAGTGCAGCAACCAGAGTTCTCTTAGTCGTCTGCATATATATTTCCAAGTCAATGGCGTAATTGCACTTTATATTTCTTTATCGTTTATTAATAGACCACCTAGATAGAAATTATATTTTTCGACTACCTAGAAATTATTGAGAGAAAAGATAGCTATGGATTTATTTTTTCCCCCACTAGTGGTACGGGCAGGGCTCTTGACACCTGGCAAATTCAGAATTCAACATCCATAGTAGACTTTGATTGTTACAACATACAACACCATCCCTCCATCCAGGAGAGTTTTCATGAGAGTTTATGAGACTGAGAATATGGATAAAATGAGTCCATCTCTGATTTCTCGCACCCAGCAGCACGTCGGACCCATCAAAGAAAATCAAAAGGGTGAAGCTTCTGCTGACGTTTGATATGGTGATGCAAGCGAGTCTTACCTCCTTTTTATGTCTGCGTTACGGTCCAAGTTTCCTTAATTTCACGAATCTGCTTCACAGATTTATTTGAACACTTCTACTTCTTTCTTCTACTAGCCATGACTAAAACTTTTTTCTCGTTCAATATTGAACCAAAGAGAGAGAGAGAGAGAGAGAGAGAGATCCACTTGATCATCAACTTGGTTGTATTTGATTTTGATAAAGCAGCGTGAACCAAACGGCGGTCCTTGGACACTCATTCCTTTAGAACCCATTAAATAGGGAGTTGCCATTCAATGTTTGTTTTCCTTTTATTAGTCTCTTGAGTACCAGCACAACTCATTCACCTGAAACCATGGATGCCCAACCAGATATCTCCCAATCCCATAGAGAAAAGGTACATGAATTGTTCATCTTCCTCTCTCTCTGATCTCTCTTTTGCTCAATTTCTTTCTAGTTTGCTCAGAGATTGGCCGGGGAGGAGTTCAGTACGAAAATATAGTTCTGCAAACTACTTATATTGTTTAACTTGTTCCTTCTTTAGGTGCAATATCTACAAGAAGAGATAGAACGTCTTCAGAAGGAGAACAAAAATCTCAGCCTCTTGCTTGAGCTGATAGACCGTAATTACAACAGCCTCAGAGCACAGCTGCAGCTGAACAAGCAGATACAACAAAGGGGCTGTGTTGCGCCCACAGAGAGTTGCTCAAGCCAGGACGACTCAAACAAGAGAGCAAAGATTGAAATCCCCAGGCCTAAGGCGTCACAGGTCCTCTTTAGGACTGATTCAAAAGACGCTAGCTTAGTGAGTGTGCTGTGATCTTCAGACTATTTCATTTATTTCTTCTGATGATTTCGGATGTTAATTTATTGTTCTTGTGCTTCTAGGTCGTCAAAGATGGCTATCAATGGAGGAAGTATGGACAGAAGATCACTAAAGATAACCCATCTCCTCGAGCTTATTTCAGGTGTTCGATGTTTCCGGGATGCCCTGTCAAGAAGAAGGTAATGCTTTAACTATCTCCACTGATCCTCCATTAATCCTTTACAGTGTTGAAATTTTTCATGATTGTTAAAGAATTGAAGTCTAGAAATTGGGTGCAATTTCCTGGAAGTTACCCATTTGTAGCTAGGTGACAAACTTTTGATTATTTAATACTAAAAAATGGAAAGAAAGAAAGAAAGAAATGGTTGATGGGTTTCCCCACTTTCCTCCATTAAAAAACTGAAGAAATCTCAAGGGTGCTTGCAGAACTAGCTGATAAAAAAAGTTGGACATTTTATTATCTTTATGGCAAGAAGTTCCTCGAAGATGGTTGACTAGCAAGTAGCTAGAATAAAGACTCGTGGATTTATAAATTTGCAGAGGGAATCTTTGGTGCGTGTATTGATGAGAGCTACTACTTAATTTTTTTCTCTTTGGGATTAATTCTAGGTCCAGAGATGCTTGGAGGATAGCTCAGTTCTTGTAGCGACTTATGAAGGAGAGCACAACCACGAACCAGAAGCACACCACGTCTCGTCATCTTTAACGAATGGTTCAATGATAGTCTCGATTACCAACTTTCTTCCTCAGACTTCTATTGATCCTGTAGCACCAAAGGTAACCCTTGATCTGACTCTTTCTGGGGCCAACCAAGAGATGAAAGAGACCCATCAGAGATTTGTAGAAGACAGCAACAAGAACAAGGTTGAAGAATATGTAGCTTCCTTAACCAAGGATCCTAGCTTCACTGCGGCCTTAGCAGCTGCAGTTGCACGATCATTCACTCAGTTTCCAAGCTGAAGTAGTCGATGTAATATATGATCTGAACATAAGAATCCAAAGAGAATCGTGTAAGTTTTTTTCTTGTTTGATCCCTAGACTCTGCAAGGGCTGCACTGCCCTCTGATTGCTAAGAGATTGAGGGTGTTTTCCTGTCTTTGAAACAACAGGTGGTACACATTTTAATTTTCATCGGAAAAATGGCTGTGTTTGGCATACTCTCATCAGAGAACTAGTGCTGATGACTTTGTGATTCTAAGAATCAGTTTTGATGTATGAAAATTGTTAGAACTAATTCTCTGAGCTTATTTGGAGCTAAAAAACAATTGTCTTCAAAACAGAAGTATCATTTTTTGCTCAAAACTTATTCTTTAAATAATCATTTTTAGCAGAATTTTAACCAAACGAATTAATTTTCCAAAGAATTCTTCTGAAAACCAGATAAGTCCTCCAAAGATAAAGAGAAGCAAAAGGGTGAATTAGCCAAATGAAAATTAAGAGACACAAGGATGAGAAAATTCTACATATTATAATATGATATTTATTTGATGGAAAAATTATTGTAATCCAAAATTAATGGGATAGTCTGTTACCAAACTGTTAAAAGATTACCCAAAAAAAGTTGTTCTTTTTTTTTTCTGTAGAAAAGTGTTTCTTTTTTGTTTCAGCCAAATGACTGAGAAATGGAATAACAACACAATTTAATGAGATTTTTAGTAAAAAACAAAACTATAATCCAAGTTTTCTAAGAATAAACAATTATAATACTATTAAATTAGATGGACAAAATTGCGCTCACAAAATTAAATTCGTTTGGATAAGCTTTTGCTTTTGAACTTTGGGCTGTGGAAAACAAAAAAAAGAATCAAAATGGGTTTTGAATGTATGGCAAGAATTGTCTTTATAAGCATAAAATTCTAAATCCAAAATACTTTTAAGCCCCAAAGCACAAATTGGGGCTCTGTGCTTTTGAGCTTTGAAAGCATGGATCCTGAATCTTATCCAAATGCAATCTTAGGGGCTGTTTAGTTGCATTGTCATTTATATAATAAATGTTTTATACGTCAGCTCCCTTAGGTGTCACAAATTACGTTTTTTGGACGGTTAAGCACCATTAGGTGTCAGAAATAATCTGAAAAGTGAAAAAACTCTTAAATGTTAGGAGAAACAACAAAAATAAATTTCTACCAACGAATAACTCTCACACAATTCGAGAAAAACATTTCTTTGATAAACAGTTTAACCAAACAACATCTCAAACTCCATTGAAAGAAACATGTATGTGACACTAAGTTATTATATATCATTTTTAGATAAACAGCAATGAAACCAATCTTAGTATATGTTGTGAGTTGTGACTGAAACCAAGAAAACATGAAAGATAAAGTACAAAAGGAGGAATACAAAGATTTAACATGGTTCAGCATTTTTTGTATATGTGCACAAAAAACTGATTGAAGGTTGTATGGTTGATTTAGCTATTAATTAATTATAGTTATTAAGATGGATAAAAGCCAACCCAACTTACAAATCCATCAGATTAAGGTCCGTGCATGTATCAAGCAACTGACCAACCCTAAGCTTTGTCCAATGTGTTGATGTTTTATGCTTACATTTTGCATATAATTAGTAGATACCAGTCAGAACCCATGGGAATTTATGTACTTATTGTGTAGTTCATGTGGTGTTTTCCTAAAATATATGTTGTACTAGAAACCAAGAAATTATTAAAAAATGCAAATATAACTAATAGAGGGTGATTTGGCCCGACCTCATAGTACGAGTACATCTGGGCATGACCTTGTTCAAGCAATAATTTAGCGTGACAACATAGCAAGTGCAATCGCAACTCGGCGGAAAGGGCTCACCGAGTTTAGTCTAGCAATTCGGCGGGTTAGGCTGCTCGTCGAGAGCCGCCAGGCTTGCACCTCCTACCCAAGGCTGAGGCACTCCGAGCTACCTCCGAGCTCGGGGCCCCCTAACCTTTCCTAATGCCCGAGCTCCTCCCAGTGGATTTTAGGCCACTCCCAAACAGGAACACCACGATCTGCCTCTAGATACCCCCGAGGTAGAGACATCTCGGGCCAGGCAGCTCGGTGTAACTTGCCACAGGCAGCTTGCCACTTGCAGGGTAGCTCGGTATAGGGTAGCTCACAGAAGAGCAATTCGGCACATCACAGGAAGGCCTCCTGCCCGACCACCGTTACCTGACAAACCTGCGCGAGTACAGGTACGTACCCTRCAAGGACGGCCCCGCACATGCCACCTCAGCCCTAGCTGTAACGGCTGTGGCAGGACGACAGTGGCAGTTAAACCTGCCCTGTCAGAAGCAGGTGGGCCTGATTGGACAAAGTTCTGTTATAAGTAGCCCAATCCCAAAGGACAGAGGTAACTTCCTGATACTCGCGCTATTTGCACTCTTAGCTTTCTTCCTCTCTTTGCATCTTTCACAGAACTCTAACTTAAGCGTCGGAGCATTCCCACTAGGTAAGTCCCCGGGGATTCTTCATCTTCTTCATCTCAGGTACCTTTCAGGAGCCACGCAAGTGCCAGATAGGAGTGACCGGATTGCGCACCATCATTTGGTGTCGTCTGTGGGAACGCTTCTAAAAGCCTTCCTCTAAGCTTTTACAGTTCCTTCTTTTCTGAAAACTCAGTATTCATGGCTTCTTCAAGCAATGCTGGACGCARCATGGAGATGGACATCGCCAGGAAACAACTCCAGGCCCCCGTGGTCTGCATTGGGCAGTTCACCATTCCCCTTTCGGTGGAGGGAGTCCCTAGCCTGAGCGTGCCACGAGCAGTGGCGCCTGTGAGAGTTCCCCTTCCCCCCTCTGTTGAGACAACCTTTGCTGAACCAACTGTTGTCCCTCCGACGACAAGCCAGAGCCAACTCGACAACCTGGTGTAGTCCATGTGAACCGTGCAAGCCCAGATGCAGCAGTTTCAGTAGTTCCAGCTCTACCAGCAGCAAGTGCTGCACCAATTCTCTCAATATCACTATCAGCAACAGTTCCCTCAGTTGCCTCAGCCTCAGCCTCAGCTCCCTCCTTGACACCCAGCCTCATGGCAAGGTAGGTCTCGCCGCCAGGATGAACGCCCTTCTCGCCAAGGAGAGGCTTCCCAGAGCCAAGCCTCCTCCCACGACAGAAAGGAAAAACCAACCACTCCGGTCTCGCCGCGGGCAGTCAGGTCAGGAGGACCCCAACCCGCCAGGTCTACGCCACCTTAGCAATCAAAGTTCGAGGCCCCACTTCTAGAGAACCGGTTTGAGATCCTGGCTGCATATTCTAAGCAGAACCCCTCTGTCCGCAGTCATCACCAGCAACCCGAGCTGCTTCCTGCGCAAACTATTCCTGATAGTAAGGAAGTGAGCAGCACCAATGCGGAGCCCGCCAAGAAGCAAAGGCGCCGCCGCCGAGCTCGCCGAACTACCACCCACAACCTGCCCGAGCTCAGAGGCAGGGAAGAGGTAAGCTCGGGTGAGGTTAAAGCTCCCCTCCTCTCTGTTCCATCCCCACTCTCTCCCGAGCTCCTAGCTGTCCCAATGCCCAAGGACTTCAAGTTCCCCCTTCTCGATAAGTATGAYGGGTTGTTCGACCCGAATGATCATGTAGACGCTTTCCAGTCGCAGATGCACTTGGATAGGGTCAGTGAGTCTTGCATGTGTGTGGCCTTCTCCACCACTTTTAGAGGAGCGGACCGCACGTGGTATCAGAACCTTGCACCCGGATCTATAAGAAGCTGGGCACAGTTCGCATAAGCCTTCACGTCCCACTTCGTCACCAGCAAGCAGTGCCCACAAACTGAGGAAAGCCTTCTCAGCATAGTCCAGAGAGAGGGAGAGTCCATCCGGGGCTATATAAGCGGTTCAATGATGCATGCATGCAGATGCCGCGCCTGGACCCCGTAGTGCGCTTTGCAGCAGCCAAGAAGGGCGTGACGCACAAAGAATTCAAGTGGCACATGGTTGTCAACCAGTCGGCGACCATAACTGAATTCCTCAAGCTCGCGGACAGGTTCATAGCTAYGAAAGAAGAGATCAACCAGAAGGGCGAGAGCGCGCCCGAGAATAGAAAGAGAGAAGGAGAACCTTCCAGCCAAGGAGACAGCCGAAAGAAGAAGGACATAGCTCGGGGGGCAAAGCTGGGTCAGCTGTTCCGACCCCCTGTAGCGGACCAAACTAACTACACCCCACTAAACGCTAAGTGGGCTGAAATCCTGATGGCAATCAAGGACGCCCCGTACGTGAAGTGGCCACCCCGCCTGAGGGGGAATCCCAATGAAAGAAATAAAAATTTGTATTATAGTTTTCACAGAGACCACGGTCATAGTACCGAGAACTGTAAGAATCTCTGCGATGAGATAGAGGAACTCATTCATCGTGGATATCTAAGAAATTTTGTACAGAATAACAACAATAATAATAATAAAGCAGGTCGGCAAGGGGAGCACGGTAAGGATGCTCYCGAGTCCAGCAGCAGGCTGGCAGAGCAGTCACAGAGGTAGCATCCGGAAGAGAGGCCAGTTCGGGGCACCATCCACATGATAGTTGGAGGCGCGATCGTTGTAGGCTGTACCTCGGTGGCAGCTCGGACGTCAGTTCGCGAAGCTGCCATGGAAGAACAAAATCCTCTAAAACGGCCGAAGACAATGGAACCTTCTTCACGGAGGATGATGCGCGCAGGGTCCACTACCCCCACGATGACGCGCTCGTCATAAAAGTAAGGATCAATGATTTTGAGGTCAGGCGCGTCCTCGTCGATTCAGATAGCTCGACAGATATCCTCTTCAAAGCCGCGTTCGACCAGCTTCAGTTGTAGGGAAGTGACTTGAGGCTTGCTAATACTCCCTTGGTGGGCTTCAATGGAGAAGAAGTCCTTGGGAAAATAACAGTACCTGTGGAAGTCGGCACATGGCCCAGTGTAGTCAGACTCAACCATGACTTCTTGGTGGTCGCGACCCCCTCCCCATACAATGCCATAATAGGCCGGCCGATCACCCATGTCCAACGGGCGGTGGTCTCCACTTTTCATTTGGCATTGAAGTTCCCTACAGACTTCGAAGTAGGGGTAGCACGGGGTGACCAGCTTGAGTCTCGCAAGTGCTATGTCGCCACCCTCAAGGGAAAGACCATGGTGGCTGACAACCTCGAACTGGAGTGACCTATGGAGCAAGGCAAAGAACGAGCTACACCCACGGAAGAAACA